CAGCAAGCGCTATTTTCTCCCTGCTTTATTTCATACAGTGCAGTCAATTGAAAGATGACATTTAAACTTGAAAACATGATGTCAAGTTTCAAGAAAATCTAGCAAATTCAACATTTTAAGTTTAATTCAGTTGTATTACGCTTTTATCGCTCATTACAACTCTTTCAAATAAGCAAAAGAATAACACAACACAAAACATATTTTAAATGCACTACCGTTGAATTATGTTTGGAAAATTGTTTATAAAAACCGGAGCCACGGGCACATAGATAATATTTAATGAAATTATCTACAATTAAATAAACTCGTCACTTAACTCCAAATAACTTTAATAGTAATAACAATAAATATTAATTCGTAATCGGATCTAAGGGATCAATAGATCTAATTCTAGGGGTTCTCAGAACACCAACTTTAAAACTAAGCTCTTACCTACTTACAACTTAGCACTTTTAATTAAAAGGTATCTGAAAGAAAATTTCCTCAGTCATTGAATGATTTTCCAGATATATATTATCATTTATGAACAGTACCAAACTGAATGAAAAACAGGATTATTGTACTTACTCATTTTTTTTATTGTACTCTAACCTCCCCCCCCTTTTAGCAGGTGTTTTAGTGTTTAACATTTTTTATCTTTAATTTTTTTCTTTGCTTTAAAAGCACTTTGTTCTTACATGTTACTAACTCATATTTTTCGTTCTTTTATTTTATTCTCGCGTGTTTTTTATTTACTTAGTTAAGTAAGTAAATAAATATTTAGTTAGACCAGCAATAGTGCGGCATAATAAAACAGAAAAAATATAACTATCCACATTCACACATTGGCCGTGTTGATATTACCAATGATCTTCTTAAACAATAGTGGCAACCTACAACAGTTTTCAAACTTGGCCTGTCCGTTGATAGTCTTTTTGACTGCGGAATGGGAAAGTTAACAGCTGGTACATTCTATGTTTTTCATGTCTCCCAGCCACCTCAACTGACAATAAAATCCAATTCCTTGTATAAGAATTGGATTTCATACAAGAGTGCATAGTGGTTAAATTCCTGCTCTATTATAGGTTTTTTTTCAACATAATTCTAAAATTTTATGACATTTTTCAAAAGAATGTTTACACTAAAAAAAATAAACAAAGTAGGTATTTACTAGGAAAATATATAATATATTACCCTTCCTGTCATCGCTTGATTGAGCACCACATTTCAGATCTCACTAACACCTTGTCCAAACAAGACATAAGGACTATAATTGCAATACCGTAGCCATAAGAGTTATATTTCATCTGAACTTAACTGGGATCAACACGACATTTTTATTAAAACACGATTTCAGCAATATTATTATTCAAAACTTTGTAACAGAAAATAAGTTCACACTATTCCTTATATTTGGAAAGGCAATGTCCTTAATCTGGGTGAAGTTTAGACTTAAAAATACATTGTTTATATTGACAGCTGGTTTACGTAACGTACGAAACACCGCCCTACGGGCAAGGAACACCGAAAACTGAAAGATATTGTATCCCTAAATGGCATTGCCGGATAGTAACATCACTCTGACCTCGCACGTGCTGTAACATTATTCATACAGCGCCATCTAGTAGTGAGTAGCAATACTTTTTGAGTTCATGCGCCTAGTAAATTACGAAAAGATGTTTTACAAAATGATTTGCAGATGTCGCTGAAAACACATAGGTGTTACTGATCTTTTTATTTTAACACTTGAGGACTCGCTAATGGGTCCAGTGGACCCAGTGCCTCGTATTTTGTTGAATTACTTAAAAATTATGAAGTTTGCGATGTTACTGCTCTTAGTACCTTTCGACAATAGTATGAGGCGATAGATCGCCTTCTTAGCTGTCAGTTAGCGCGCTGCCTGTGAGTGCTATGGACGTGAACGGTGTGTATGGGTTCGTTGGACCCGGTAGCGACTAAATACGTTAGTGTTTTTTTTCATCTAGTTATTTATGTCTGTTTACTAGTTTTCGTTTCATTGATGGTAGAATTATTGGACAATTATAGCCTGACTTGCTTAGGAACTCTAAAGAAAAATAAAAGAGAAATACCTCTAGACTTTACACAAAGAAGAGGGAGACAGGATCACGAAATCTACTTTGGATTTCAAAATGATGCCACACTAATATCTTACGTACCCAAACATGTCAAAATAGTTCTCTTAGCATCCACTATGCATCATGATGCCAAAATTGATGATAAAACTGGAGAAAAAAAGAAACCTGAAATAATAACTGATTACAACGCCTTCAAAAGCGGAGTCGATGTAGTTGATCAGATGATTGGCCCATAAAGACAGGAAAACCAAGGTTTTTTGGGTAAAATGTAATACCCCAGTTTGTGGAGAAGATATGAAACAAATTTGTGCAAATTGATATAGCTTAGTTTTATAAAGAAAAATGTAGACCTATGATGGAAAGTGATTATATACTAAAAATAATAATCTAAAATTTGTTGATTTTGAAAGTTGATTTTGCTTGTTCCTATGATGATTGATCTCTTAATTATATTTTATCTTAGTAGATACATAATAGTAGTATATTAAAGTTAAGAAGATTTTGTTAAAAATCTATTGTTACAGATTTTACAGCTTTATGTTTAAGTTTAGTCGTAAAACTATGCCAAGATTCGGTATATTTTTGTACTAACTATTTGATTAAGTAAAACAATAAATATTCGTATTTTATTAAATATTTGTTTATTTTTTGGACATTATTAACGATATTTAAAAACATCAACCATTTTCATTGAGAAGTTTTCGCATAAACACGTAATATTGTCTGGGTCCGCAGGACCCGGTAGCGAGTGTTTGTGTAGCAATTTGAAGCGCGGGTCCCTAAGTGTTAACCTTATGGGAATGTGTTATTCATATCGATTAATATAAATATTACAGCATATTAATTGTTTTATAACTCTAGTTTGATTTATTTAATACTCCAATGCAAATAAGTCCTAGTCGTTGCCTCAACCAATATGTCACTGTCATCTTTGTGTTATGTCAATATGTCAATAACAATCAATTTTGTGTTCATTCAAAAGAGCAAAATAGTTTCAACTTGATTTGAATTAAAAACTTGACCAATTATTAACTCTATAATCTGTGATAAAAATGCCAACCAGTTGACAATAATAAATAAATATACATAGTGATAAATACTACATGTTTTTGTTTTGCTAGAAAAGAACTTGAAATAAATTATATAGAAAAAAAAATGTAAAATTGAAACGTTTTACTGAAACTTTATTATCTCAAACTATTTTTGTAACGCACACTTTCATACTTATTCAATTGAAAGGAAATATTGTTATGATGGTGAAAGTTTGGAAATTAGGTTTGATGAGCTATGACACTGCTCTGAAGATACAGCTGGCGTTAGCTCGGAAGCATTTGGATGGTATCACGAGAGGACTGCAAACTAACTACGATACACTCTTGTTGGTTGAACATAAACCTGTGTACACTGTCGGTAAGATAATTCATATTTGTAACCTAATAATATCAGTTATTTGCTACATCTTAACCTAATACATTTTATTCGAACAAAATTGAATGCTTTTCAAAACCGGTGTATTGTTTTATTATTTTGCCATAAATTCCTAAATTTTTAAATAGTGCCTCCAAGTGCCATTGATACTGCTAGACATTTGATCCATTAAATATGATAAAAGCACAATTCGTTTCCAAATAGTATAAACTGACAGCATGCTGAATATTTGTATACTTACCTATACTTTACTGCACAAGATTTATTTGTTTAAACATTAATTTCTATACTCAATGGCTATGTTGATCAACCAACACAATGCAATCATACCTTCCTGAACACTCAAAAACTGTCAGATTCTGTATTCTTCTTTCTATTTTGCTTTTTATAGCCCGTTTGTTACAGCCAGAGGATTGAAAAAAAACATTATTTTATATATGTTTAATAAAGGGAAAAATTACATATGTCAAAATTACATCTAAATAGCCTAACGTTCGGTTTGAGGTCGGAATTAAAATGCATGTGAAATATTAATTAATTATCCAATATGAAAATGAGAAGTCGGCAACTCTTGGCAGCTTGGCCTTAATGTCGGTCCATATTGCAATAAGCAGAGGTTTATATGTAAGTGGTCTTCCTTCCATCCACTTACATAATTGGCCTATGAGTGCTTACCATGTAATTTTTTTTTTGTTTTAGGCATAAGAGATGACACTCCAAAAAGTGAGATAATAAAGTTACAAGACCTAGGTGCAGACTTCCGTAAAACCAATAGAGGGGGATTAATCACATTTCATGGCCCCGGTCAACTTGTTGTATATCCAATAATAAATTTAAAGCACTTCAAATCAAGCGTGAAGTCGTACGTCCATAGCTTGGAAGAAACTGTTATACAAATGTGTGACGAACTAGGTAACCTACCCTGAAAATAAATTAATTCTACCATTTACTCCTGTTTTTTGCTTTCAATATCATAATAGCCATTAGAAATTCTCATTCAAAAGGTAAATATCATAGAATTAATATTTTACATTTGCAGGTATCAAAGCACAACGATCTCCACACACTGGTGTATGGGTAGATGATAATAAAATAGCAGCCATTGGAATACATGCCTCAAGGTACGTCACTACACATGGCATTTCTTTAAACTGTGACAATGACCTCAGCTGGTTTGATTACATAGATCCTTGTGGAATAGAAGATAAGGGAGTCACATCACTCACCAAAGAGACTGGTATAAAATGTTCTACAGAAAAAATGAGTCCAATATTTTTAAAACATTTTGAAAACACTTTTAGTTGTGGAAGTGAAGAACTTGATTCTAAAACGAAAGAAGAAATACTGAGCAGCATTTATAGTAAACTAATGGTACAAAGTGAAAATTGATTGGAAATATAAATTTTAGTTAATTTATTTCATTGTAGATCTGTTGATTTCTTATACTGTAGTGTTGATTTAGTTTTGTTAAAATAAAACAAAGTATAAATTTGTACAAAGTTTATTTCATTTGTTAATTGTAATGAAAAAATAAATAGTAAAATGTAAAAATTAGGCTAAATAAATAATATAGAAGTCTCAAGTTGGGTTAAGAGAAACAAATATATATTTGTATGACTACCTACTTGGTTGTATGTCAATACAATTAAACATAGTTCTATTTATATTTCTACAGAACCCAACTGAAAGTTCTTCAGGATATCTAAAAGTTAGAGCCAAACAATATGTATATAAACAAAATTATTTACAAAAAATCATGTTTTAAGTTTTTGACATCATAAAAAGCAAGCTACAATAAAATATATGCCAAAAGGTCATATAAAAGTTGGAATGTCTTAAAACTCACACTAATATATTTAAAAGTAAATGCTTTGATGTTCCCTAACTATAAATCAATACTAACTCCAATTTAAATAATTCGGAATAATCCCACAGAAAAATAAATTCATTGATGTAAAAATTCAATAATTTTCGGGGATCATTCCAAAGTCTTCACACACACTTCAAGTACCATGTACTCAACAATTGTACAAAACACTGGTTATCACTTACAGCTAATAAATGCATTGTCTTAATAATTAAAATTTCCTATATCCCACATCAGTGCTGCTAACGGAGGGTAATAAATTACCAATCAACTTTATTGTAAATTCAGTTAAATGAAGTATTATCTATAACTGTTTTAGAGTAAAATTATCCATCAGTTTATTTGTTCTATTCATATTCCTACTTAATATTAATAAATGCTTCTAAATGCAATAAATTACCACTAAAGTAAATACAAACTCGCGGTGGTCAAAAAATAATATCAGAACAATTCGGATGTAATCACCACGGACAATACTTAATTACGGGACGGATTTTGACCAGTGAACTTGAGTTTTGTCATCAGTCAAAAATGTATCACAAGCTCCTTGTTTGAATTTGAAACTGCTGTGGTCGGTAGCCTCTTAGCTTGATAGAATAGGTAGGATTACGACATGTGTTTGGGTGGTGAAAGCCACTTGCGCATGTAGTAGCAGAAGATTGTCGCGATGTAAAGTAAAACCAGCAACGCACATGCCACTCCGAGTAGAAGTACTGACATTTTGCTGGGGCAGGGCTCCACTATTGTCACGGTTTTCTCTGCAAGAGGAAAAAGACGTTCAGTAAGATTGCCAAGATGTCGGCATAGTAACAGAATAGCTTAGCAAATACACTTCTAGTTTCGATACGCAAGGAAAAATATTATTGCATCATGCAAGATGTCGTCATAGTACAGAACAGCTTAGCAAATAAACTTCCAGTTTCACAACGCAAGGACCAATATTATTAATAATATAATAATAATAATAATCAAATAAAGAGTGACTAGAACTGCTTTTAATGGTGTCACCATAACTAAGGCTCCCGGTGCGCATCCTAATGAGGTAAATGTAAAAAAACTGACTTTTCTTTTAACCGCGTATCTGGCTGTTTGTGTTCTGTACCATTGTTATTTTCATCGTAGCACAAGTGCGTCAGCTACATTAGTATTAGGAAAAGAAGTGTTGTCCAATATTTGTTGACTGAAACCACAACTGGCGTTATTATAATTCAAGTGAGCTTACCACCGTAATTAGCTTCAGAAACTGTACCGCCTGGCTTGTCAGATCTTAGGAAATCCGTGCTCTGTCTCTCATCGCCGAAGTCCAACACGAGGATCTCTTGAGAAATGTTCATATTTTCTTCTTGTGAGTGATTGTCGGTATCGTTTTGGGGCAACGAACGCTTCTTTCTGCCCCAGGACTCGATCGACTCCATAGCCCATTCGCATACAGCCTGAAACATTACATCATAAAGTCTCATTAACCGTGACGAACTCCGCCCGTTTCAAATGGCGACAAAGTGTTTGCATATGCGTCACTAATGACAGTAGATCTAGTGCTAATGTGCGAAACTTTTTTTCTGTTGCTATGAAGTCATAACCGTAGGTAGGTAATGACCGGTCATCGTGTTACAACTATTTACATAATCTGCAACTTATTGTTTGAGATTTAGATTTCCATTCGTACACGAGGCAGCAGTACCCCATTTATAACAAGTAACAGCAGGTGTACAGCCTATTATGTTGTTCCTCGCATCAGAACCATGCCGCATACTAATCATACTAACTGGTATCTTTTGGGTGAAGTACATAAAAAGCCATTTGGGACCAAGCTTCCTCAAACTCACAGAAAACAGGCAGTAAAATAAGACAATATTCTGGTGGTGCCTTCTGTGCCTAATGTTCTAGAGATCCATGGGATATATAATTGTTTTTTTTTTTTTCATAATTTTTTTATTCGATTATTTACAATATGTCTTTTTAATTATGTTATTTTTAATCAAATTTCAACATGTTTAATAATATACTGTCCGTGCTCGAGGCTGCTATTTGATACAGCCAGGGGCACGGGCAGAAGTCTAAAAGAGGAAGCATAGAAGGATAGTAAAGATAAAAGTAGGTATACAAGAAAATAGGGAGGTCAAAAACAAAATAAAGAAAAGGTGAATCACATTAGTGGCGTTAAAGACTACTCGTTTGCTTCAAGTTGGCCGTCGATGGCCAATCACAGGCACATCAACTGGTACCATCGTCCAATAAGGTCGACTAATAGGGACTGTCTAAGGCGCGGTATTCTGAAGCTGGGAGGGTGGAAGCAGCCAATTCGAAGCGAACGCGTAGTGCTTTGGTTATCAAAAGTATGCGTTATTAATAGAATACAGGGTTCACTCAACACATTCAAGCAAACTCATGCACACATACAGAGAGAGATACACACACACACGCAATCATACTCAAATGAGTCCTAAGATAATTATTATATACACTTTTAAACTATTATATAATATAACGTAATTATAACATTCACAGAAAAAAAAACTTAGAGCGTGCGCTGCGTTAAGCGGGACACAGAGCGGACACCCGCTCGGCGCGCTTGCTTCATGTCATTTGCATACCGCCTATGAGGATGGCTGAAGCGACAAATATTTCTGCGTCGCTAGGATTCCACTAACACTTTCATCAAGCTAGGGTAGGCTCATTTACCGCGCCTTGTATGAAAAAAAATATACCAATCGTCGATTTAATTAAAGGTATCATACTCACTGGTGAACAGGGACCAAGACAATACTTGACGTTGCATTGGAAGATAACTCCGTAGGATTCGGTGAACCTGAACGCTTCGTACACAGTTTGCAGCGAGTTACCATCCGGAGTGAACGCAGGGAAGATTGAGGGATCCACAGGGCAACTGAACAAGACATAGAACATGTGAGATATATCAATTTCTTACAACCATCATTTCATCACGTGTTGTCTCATTCTATTGTTATCGCAAAGAAAGTGACGGCATCAACTTTAGTCAAATTTAAAAGTTAATTGACTCCTCTGTGTGCGGCCGTTAAAGTCAGAACACAATGCGAAACAAATCAACATTCTAGTATGACGTAGTCAGTTAAATTTAAATTTCTTTGGTATTCCCATCTCATTAGTAAGCTAGTATGCATTGTATTACAATTACTACGGTCCGTTACAGATATTATCTTTTCTGGAATCGTAAAATTACTATTTTATACGCAAATCGTTCGATTATATTGAATGTAGACGGTATGAACAAAGCATCAACAAATAAGTACGATGTAATTTTATTGCCAAAGAAATAATTTGCAAATATTTTATGCAATCTAAGTAGGTAAATAAGTCTTCATCCGACGAAAGCAAAGTAATAATTATTTATTAAAAAAAATCGGTTTTCAAGTTCATTATTAATCATAGGATGGGTGACCGAAACATTATTATCTTGCACACCTCCACTGCTTCGGAAAGTACCTACGTTAAGCAATTTTCCCGACTGCATTATGCATTCGTTAACATCACCAATCGGCACTAGAGCCTCGTGATGAGCATCTTGTTTACCCTATTCCATTCATACGTTAGGTCTGTGGTCTAGGCCTATAGTAGGGAGCTAGTGCTGGCGATAATGAATAATATTGAAACTGGTTCTATTTACATCTGTAAATGGAGTCCAGTTTTTTCTTTAATATTTTATTAATTAGTTAACATTTTTACACGTCAATATTGGTAGACCATCATTAATGATACATACCCTTCATCGTCAATAATCTGGATGGTAGTTTTCGAATCTTTAGCCATAGCAACGCAGCTGCGAGCGAAGATACCATAAGGTGCTGAAAAACAATTGTTTTTTAATGATATGTCCCAAAAAAACACAAATCAAAGGTATCATGTGTAACTTGTACTAACTTCTCCCGTATCACTCTCATTATTCGCACTAGCCATATTGCTGGATCCAGCATGCGGGACAGGGCTATACACATAAAAGAGATACCTACTGGATCTAATTTACGTATACCTATAGCGCTGACCGCAAGGCAATAGCTCATTGGTTTGTCTATCAATCAGCAGTAGGATGTGAAATACTTACTGTCTTCCGGTATTTCGATACGGAAGGTGAGACGGTCTCCAATGCGCACAGTCTCGACTTCCCGTTGGTGTGCATCCAGAATACGGATGCGCGGTGATGGCGCCTCGGGAGATGCAGTAATGGAAATCATCTCGGGGTCTCTGTAATTATAGAACAGCCATATATATCAATAATTTTACTGTCTCTACTAGGTTTGCCAACTCTATAATATACTATATCAGGGGCTCAAATACTTTATTTCTAAAAAAATATATATAGGAGTCGAAACTACTATATTTTGCTTAAAGCAGATATTTGCCAGTAAAAGCTTTATCAAAAAATATATTATTAAGGCACAGCGCAGCAAAATAGGTTCATTTCAAAAATAAAGTCAATATTTTAACCACATACTATATTTTTTTCAATTTTTTGCACTTTACTATATTTTTCGTGGTAACCGCTTCGAAAATACTATATTTGATAGAAAAAAAGTTGGTAACCATAGTCTCTACCCATGGGTACCATGGTCCATCTACCTACATAGTTCACCTGGGTGTACCAAGGACAATTATTTCTTCCCGTAGTTTGCCTCAAGATAATTGAGTGCACCAGGGGCTTTTTTCCCGTGGTTCACCCTATAGTTCACCTGGCTGTATCAGAGATAATTATTTCTTCCCGTAAGGTACAGTTAAAAGTACGAGATGATTGTTATGATTTACATGAACAGAAATGCTCGTCTTTTACATGATTTTTGCTGTTGTTAAAAGTTCTAATGAAGTAAGATTAAATGCACACGAACTGCTTAGTAAATACCTACTTTATACGTTAGTTTATTACCAATCCGACTTAATGACGGGTACTTTAAGAAAAAGCTTAATTGATTGATTATTTTTTTCATATTTAGCATTATAATGATAGGAGAATGTTTTTAGAACGTATTTGACGTACTGCTTTAAAAATCCTGATTTTAAATGCGAAATGTTTGTTTCTTACGCTTTCAGGCCTAAACCACTGAACGGATTTCGATGAAATTTGGTACGCATATAGTTTATAACCTGTATTGAGACAAATGATACTTTTTATCCCGTAAAAATGTCAGGTTCCTGTGAGATTTTCAAAAAACTGAAGTGAAACAGACGAAATCACGGGCGACCTGCATACTAACATCGATTCAAACTTTTTAGCAATCAAAGCCCCTACTTCTTCTTAAACATAATAAGCTCAGCTGTTATGTTTAAGAAGAAGGTTATGAATGGTATTCACGATGAAACGCATTACATTCATCGTAAGCACTCGTGATGGTTATCGAACTTCTAGCAACTTCATTACAGTCTCATACAAAGTAGGTAATTGTATGGTTGCGGTTCACATCACGTCAGTCTGAAGTACCCCATGTGTGTATCTAATTGTAACCCATTTACGACGTGCAATGGGATTTTAAATTATTCTTTCAAGTATGCACTTTTATGCCGCTAGATCACGTCGACTGGCTATTGAATAAATTACGGAGCCTACGGGAATTCGAACATTTTTGCTTAAGTAGTGTATACGTGGTTCACGACATACCTGATTGGCACCATTCCGAATGTGATGTTCTTTGAACTCATATCATAAGTGCATTTCACTTTGTATATCTTATCGGCCTTTGTCATAACCACGCTGTGGTGCTGGAGGACGACTGTATTGGAATAGACCCCAGTCTGAAAAGATTAATAATTACATTAAAATATACGACTACAATTCCCAGAGTGAGTGTTTATAGTTACTGTTACAAGCCAAGCCAAGCTTCTTGGAAGCTGTCGGGCTAAAAGAGATACTTTAACTTAGTGGCGAGTCACAACAGTGACTCGCCACTAAGGTCTTTTAGGTCGCAGTGACTTCAGTTCCGTCAGGACTGCATAGCCCCATTAATCTGATATAATATTAATTCAGTAAAAACTTACGACGCTCTGTGTATTGCAATCTTGTCCAGCCATCGTAAGGTCTAGCCTGAAGAGGTCGCTATTGACAACGTCGATGTTACAAGTCTCCGAACGGCCCAAGGCATAAATACGACCGTTGAAAGGTCTGTTGGTGCGGACTTGCACAGCGATTCTTGTATCTTTACAGAGTACCGACACTGAAATAGTAAAATTTTATGTAGAAATACACAAAACGGACAAGACGAGCGAAATTTGCAAGAAATATCATCAATTACGCGCTTAGAACGTTTTCTGACTTAAGTACTCAATCACGTTTGAAGAATACTATTCTGGTTAATAGCAGCAAACTGCATTAATCTAGATGCAATCAAGTTTAAATCGCGTCATTTTCACCCAGCAATTGTGGAAAATACTAAGTATTATGTCAATTATGTAACGAAAACTACCTACTTATTGCAGTGGTCCCTTTGAAACACTTTTTTTATATCCATAAAAATGGCGCAGGATAGTAGATGTTAGAACTCATTAACTTGTAAGTAACCATCTGAGGAACTAGTTCACAAAATTGACAGTCCGTCTATGCCTGACCGGCGAAAGAACAAGTCGCGTAATTACCGTCATAACAAGTGCCAGTCTTGTCGCAGTTGGCGTCGTTCCTCGTCAGGTTACTGGATGTGTTCGTGTCCTGCTGATGCTCAATTGTGACAGGCAGCTCGCCGCCCGGGTTAGAGTTGCTCGGCGGCTCTAAAATAAATAGAAAACAACGTTACTCTATAATTTGAACTACTCGTGTTCAGCGAAAGTGCTTATAGACGCAATATACTTAAATAACGACTAATGAAGCTGAACAAATCTATGAGTCAGGCCTCGAGTTCTTATTTATGGCTGAACCACTGATTAGGCGATGGGATTCTGCGTGCAATGCGTGTATCATCATAATCGATACAAGATTGCGGCGGTAAAGCAGCGGTCTCGGTGATTTTAAGTACATCCTACCTTGTGCAATTACTAGTCCCTATGTGCCCCCTCCGTGCAAGACTTGCCGCTTGGAGGAATTCTAGATTTTCACACGCAATTGGTAAGTGTTGTGTGGTTATAGTTAGAAAATGTAACTTAACACCATAACAATGAATGCTATTAAAATATCGCGTCGTGATTACTTAGTGTATAGTAGTAGTGACTTATACTCATAAGGTATATAATTATTCACCTACAGAACAATTCCAAAAAGATTAACTAAAGATTTCATAACATCTTTTCAAATTCAGCAATAATTGTCCCAAATTCAAATTAACTTTAACTAATAATTACCTACATTTATATCCAAAACGCATAACTTATACATTGTGTTTTAAACATTAGATAAAACTTTGTTGATGTTATTCTAGACAATTTAGCCTCAGTTATTTAGAGTGTAATAGAGCATTCCGCGGTAGCACCTCCTATCGCAATAATTTGATTCGGTTACGGTTGGATACTTTTTGGTGCCGATGTCAACGGGTCTTATGAGGAAACTTTGAATATAAACACCTTTTTTTCACTCTTAACAGTGAATAAAAGGCAACGACAAGAAATAAACCAGAACGCCAAGCCCTTGCTCTATTTTAGCATCCAACTTCAAAATAACTTACTATTAGCTATTATGATTCAAATAGTTTTACAAAAGCGTTATACTCTTGTGTTGCTATTCATGTCAATAAACATGTACACGTGTTTTAAGTAATCCTTGCAGGGGCGGTTTCAATAGAACTAGGCTTCGCCGAAAAGCTGACGGTCGGTGAACCGTTCCTAATCGATTCGTTAGCATAGTGCCGATGTCTCGACATGTCCAGCGCCAATAATGAGGTGACGCGAACTGCGATTTGGGCCGTTGACCGGTGGACAAAGGAGCAACTCGCCCAAAAGGTGATTCCAAATCACCTAAATTGTTTTCCAAAAACTGATGCGAGACTGCTTGTAGAACTTTTTTGTACTTTTTTTATTTTAATATTGCTATTATCTTTATAACTTATATTTTATCAGTCGAACCCAACCAAGACATTTATTTTAACGTATGTGGTTGAATAAAGATTAATTTTAACTTAATTAGAACCTTTTATCGTCACCCTGGTAAATGCATGCACCTATTTTATCTAAACTAAACTTCCATTACTACTAGAATTTCTTTTCAAATACCTGAAACCTAAAAGTTAAATAAATGTTAGTTAACCTTTTAAGTGTAAATTAAGATACTCGGATCATTTGGAGCAATATAAAACTAGGAATAATAATAATTATAATAAATATTTCCAACACTGACACCAATTAGCCTAGCCCCAAAGTAACTACTATAAGGCTTGTGTTATGATATGATAAATATATGAGGAATAGTTTATTCTATGATAGTCGCAAGGTGTTCTAGAGGAACGAGATTAGCTAGACTAGACGTATGATTACTGGTGAGATCGGTCACTTTCCGTAGAGGCTGTAGCGATTTCAACTGTCAATCAAACTGATTATAGGTAGGTAATAATATAATACCATATACCAAGCCTTTTATGGATGACATCCCTGACTGCCCACAGATGTTATTTATTTAATGGTACATGTATATGAAGGATTAAGGTATGTAGGTCCATACGCACGTGCTAGCCCAATGCAAAATAAGATGTTTGCATTAATATATTGTTGACAAAATGTTGTAATGGTTACGAACAAAGTGAGTAATAATTGTTTATAATGTGCAGTTTAATTTCTGAAAACAGTTTAACGACTGTCATCTTTAAAGTTCATCGATAGCAGTTTTGCTCATCTCAACGATAACTAGAGCTTGAAAGAAAAATCTCCCTTTCCTTATAAATTATGTTTTTGCTCACTCCTATCCCTCATCGTCAGAAGTCGATGACACCACAACCATGTTCGCAACGCTTCAACGAATAATAAACGACGAACAATTCCCACGCCCGCCAGCCGTTTTCTAAGCGTTTATCCAAGTATTATCCACAGAATTACCTAATAATACTTTTACAATACAGTTTACTCGCCCTTTAACTACCAGTCAATAACTACTTTAATACACACTTTGAAACAAGGTGTTCCCTAAGTAAGCAATTTAATTACTCATTAACTGCAGCTGGGTTCAAAATATTGTTAGGTAGGTTCATTCGTTATATTATGCATTTATTTAAAGAACTATTTGTATTGGAGATTTATTTCCTGTTAGTGGGTTAACTATTTCAAAATTCAATTAAATCTAAAGTTGAAGATATAAAAAACGGATTTCCTTTCGACAGAACTGATAACGATCTGAAAATCGCATCCGTTCGCATTGATCGCAAGGATAAATTATAAGTCTATATTGATATTTCATATAATTGCCGGCTTCAGAATAGTTTAATTACAAAGACGTCAGTAGCTCATAATATATTGGGTATCTTTTCTATTTAATGCCCATTAGTAACGAAAACATTGCAAATGTTTTTTATATAAAGATCGAATACTATGGGAGCGCCTTATTGCAACTATACAACATTTCTGAGAATATTTCCATTAAATGGCACGAAATAGAAAGCTATATGTATTTGGCTTTGGCTGAGATAAATTTTCTCTGTGCGAAAACCAGCGATTTTACTATCTAAAGTACTCTTAATTCATTTGCTTATGAAGATAAATTCTACTTACTTTAAATAAACTTTCCCGCGGCAAAACCTGATAGGAAACTCGCCCTGTGCGGTGTATAGAGTTGTGATAGCATTAACGGTCCGGACTTCAAGGTTCCGTGCGCATTCCTGTCACCGATATACCTAACTCCGTTATAAATCTGCACAGGAATACACCGTACGTAAAACATATGCATGATTATAGCTATTAACGGGATTGTTACCATGTACCTTGTTTTTTATGAGTCTCCGATATTTCGGCACTGTTGCAAGCGCCATGATCACGGAGTAACTGAAGTAATTGCGGGTAGATGTTATTGGCAGACATATCGGTCTACCCTCTGACGTCGTCTTTTACTGCGCTCGATACCCCTACCATTGGTCACGTTCTCACTATTCATTCGCACCTGTTCCCGACACACAATACTCACAGTATCCGATCGCGGAACGACACTTTTTTGATTTTTACGGTTTTTGCACATACGAACCACTGGATTCCAGACACTTGACAATTTAAACCCATCCTCACGATTGAAATTTTTGTGTTTGGTTATTTCAATCGCTTCCCTGACCAATCTTGGTATGTAGTGGCGTTCTGTCGAGATGATTTGTGGATTATGGAGCTCAATCCAGTGATTCGGACCCGAATCGATTAAATGTTCCGCGATAGCCGATTTCCGCGCATCATTGTTTCTGACTGCTTTTATGTGTTCTTTCATTCGGCACGCTATTGTCCGCTTCGTTTGGCCAATATATGAACTACCACAGCTGCAGTCGATCTTATATACACCAGGTTTCTCCAAAGGGAAGTTGTCTTTGGGAGATCGTAGAAACTGTGACACTTTTTGTAAAGGAGTGAAGACAGTATTCAGTGAGTACTTATTAAGTATGTTCGAGATCTTGTCTGTCACTCCTTTGATATATGGCAAAAATACTGGTTGCCTGCTTACTATGTGTGTCTGGTGCCTTAATTTGTGTTTGGGTGGAAACTGTCCCTTGTATCCATTATTCTGTAGGACCCGCCGTACATACTCCAACTCTTCGTGCAGGTGTTCCTTGTCACACAAGTCATATGCACGGTTTGTCAGTGAAGTCACTACAGAATTTAGATGTCTGGGGTGGTGATGCGAAGAGGCGTTGAGATAACGGTCTGTGTGTGTGAGTTTGCGGTGAATGGAATGACTCAGCGAACCATCATTCCGCACCCGAATCTTTACGTCAAGAAATGCCAGACTTCGGTCTTCTTCCATCTCATATGTGAAATGCATTTTGGTATGGACTCCATTTAAATTTGCCAAATGAGCCTCGACATCTTCTTTGTTTCCTCTCAATATACAAAATACGTCATCAACATACCTCTTCCATAGTGCAATTTCTGTGGGGGCGGTGGCGAAAGCTTTTTCCTCAAAATACTCCATCCATATATTGGCAACGACTGGAGCTACCGGACTGCCCATTGCGACCCCATCTATTTGGAGGTAGTACTGACCCTGATATATAAAGAAGTTCGTCGTCAAACAATGATGCAAAAACTTGGCATATTCCGTCGGGATGTTATTGTCTTGCAATTTCACCTTTACTACTTCCAAACAGTCCACCACAGGTACATTTGTGAAAAGTGATTCCACGTCGAAACTAACCATCAAGTGATTGTCTTCCACCTTGTTTTGGTGTAAGATTTCTACGAAGTGGCGGGAATCTTTTACAAACGACGATGTTCGTCCCACTATTGGCTGCAATATTTTTGCTACGTGCTTGGCCAGTTCATACGTAGGTGAGTCTATCTGACTCACGATCGGACGTAGCGGCACATTCAGCTTGTGTATCTTAGGCAGTCCATATAGTTTTGGAGGCTGGACGTTTCTAGGACGTAGCAAATATTTGACGGTATCGTCGTCTAGAGCGTAGGCACATTCTTTTATAAGTGAGCGGGTGCTTCGATCAGTCCTCGCCGTTGGATTGTAATTCACCTTAATATACGTGTTGGAATCAGTGAGTAGACTATGAATCTTACTTTCATACTCAGTGATGTCCATTATGACAGTCGCATTCCCTTTATCAGCTTTGAGTATTATTCAGTTACTCCGTGATCATGGCGCTTGCAAC